CTAGAATAAATGACATTAAAAACTTTTGGTTATTTAGAATCTTCTTTCAAAAGGTTCAATCTCAGTAAGTTGCAGCAAGTGTGGGGGGTTGCTGTTAAAATTCTGGGTCCTCGCTTTTTAGTCAAGTACATAAAATTAGTCATAAGGGGGAGTGAACAAAGGTAAAATGAATTGATGAATTAACTTTAACTTTTTAAATGGTAAAACAATTTTACCTGCTGTAAATACATAGGTAGAGAGAAAATAACATGAAGACAAGGATGGAGAGGGACCCTAAACTCAGTACAAACAGGAAAAGATGAATCTATTACAAATGAATAATACAGCCACACTGAACGGGAGATAAACTAATCCAAAAGATTCTTAAATATACATATTGACTGCTACTTTTAGGCTAAAGACAAAAGGAACTGTAAATGAATAATGAAAATTAGTTTATTAGTTTTGGTGGTTTTTTTTGTTGTTGTTGTTGATATTGTTTAGTAATTCTGAAACTACTTTGTATACCTTCCTGTACTGAGCAAATAAATAAGTGTATAGTTAATAATGTGAGCTAACATTCAGAGAAGGAGTTACAAATACAGAAAGAGAGGGTATATTAACCCAATTGTGTTAGATTTGAATTGGAGCTATCAGTATACACTTGTGTTTTTATTATATTGAAATAGATATAGATAGGAAAGCACGCGCGCGCACTTGTGTGTGTGTGTACATATAAATCTTAGAAAATTTTAGCACCAAAACAAGTGATAATAGTAAATTATAAATCCTAGAATAAAATAAGCTATGAATCACCACTGATGTGTGAGTGAATTAATTAACAAATTAATGAATAGATAGCTAACAAAGGAGAAAACTGTTAAATACAGAAGGAATAACTAGCAAATCATTTGACAACCACACTGCGTAGTGACTGCTTTAGGTAAGAATCATCAATAGATGATAAAATTTCTGGGTGAAAGTTTATCGAGAAATAAGATATTTATATAGTCTCCAAATATCTCCCTGTATGAGATACTTATTAATAATTAAAAAGGGAAATTAGTGACTTAGAGTGAGAAACTTGACAAGTCATCAAAGTTGTTATTGCTAGTGAATGAAACAAAAATGATATGCATTGAGAATGATATAAATCTCTTATTCCTGCCAAAAATGCATAACTTGAATCTACAATAAAAAGTCAGATAAACCCAAATTGAGGCTCATTGTACAAATAAATAGCCAACTGTACTCTTCAAAAATGTCAAGGTCATAAAAGACAAGGACTGAGGAAAAGACTCCAGGAAACTGAAGAGATGACAACTGAATGCCATATATAAATCTGGATTATATCTTGGATCAGGAAAACAAAGATGTTTTTAGGAAATCAAACTATAAAGGGTAAAAGGGGCATCATACTTTCAACTTATTCTTAACCTATTCAGGGATGAGAAAATAGTTTGTGTGGCAAATCTGGGCAAAGGGTATATAGGAACTCTATCTGTGATTTTTTTTAAATCTAAAATTATTTCAAAACTAGAGGCCAGGTACACAAAATTCATGCACAAGGTGTGTGTGGGGGTGTCCCTCAGCTCAGCCTGCACCCTCTTCAATCTAGGATCCTTGTCACAATTCAGGACTGCTGTCTCCCAACTGCTCTCCTGCCTGTCTTCCTGATTGCTCCTAATCACTTGTGTCTGTCAGCCTGATCACCCCCTAACCACTCCCCTGCCAGCCTGAATGACGCCTAACTGCTCCCCTGCCAGCCCAATTGCCCCTAACTGACCTCCTCTGCAGGCCTGGTCACCCCTAACTGCCCTCCCCTGCAGGTCTGGTCCCCCTCAACTGCCTTCCCCTGCCGTCCTGGTCATCCCTAACTGCCCTCCCCTGCAGGCTTGATTGCCCACAACTTCCCTTGCAGACCTGTGCCCTTCCCTGCTGGCCATCTTGTGGCCGCCATCTTGTGTCTAGAAGGGGACAGCAGTCTTGTGTGTTGGGGTGATGGTCAATTTGCATATTACTCTTTTATTAGATAGGATGGAGGCCTGCTGCACAGGTCGGGGCCGGCTGGTTTGCCCTGAAACTGCTCTTGTGTACTTTTAATATACTAGGCTACTTGGGATTCCGTATTTGTCAACAGTATCTATACCTCCCGGAGTTGGCCCTGGGGAGGGAGTTTGGCCCCTGAGGATCATAAGGAACCTCTGTTGCTTCGGTCACAATGCTTTAGGCCCATCCTGAAGATCGTTGGCTGTCCCTGTAGCCAGTCAGGGCTGTTTCTAAGTAACTGTTCTCAAATTGATGTCATCACTGCTCTCCAGAAACCATCCTTTCTCCTCACCTTGTAAAGAAGACAACTCTTACACATGGAAAAGTTTCCGCTCATTATGAGATGGGTTTTGGTGAAGTAAAAGCAAGGGTGTAAAAAAGTTGATTTTTGAAGGCACAGATTCGACTTGGCAGTCATCTTTATCCTGACAGCATTTAATGCGAAGTCCCTGTAGCCAGAAGATAATCTTGTTAGGCTCTAATTAAAAGCACAAGGTATTTTTTCACGTCTCCTCCTCATCTGTCTCCCTCTTTTAAATCTCTTCCTCTCCCATATTCCCCCACCCCACCCCCTGCCTCCTCTTCGTCATCTTTGAACGTTTAAGATGTTTTGGAATCGGCTAATCCCTGTGGATAGAAACAGAGCTGAGCAGGATATTGATTACCAAATACGGTATTGCTGCTAAAGATACCAGAGGAATGTGGCTTGAATGCTAAGCCTCCAGCCTATGAAAACGCTGCCAAACAAATTAGGTCATTTTAACTTCTTAGCTTTTTTAATAAGGAGCTGGAACTTTGATTTGGAACACGGTGGTGGTGCTATTTTCTCTCAGTGGAGGAGGGGTGAAAAGAGGGGGAGATGAGAGGGGAGGGAGACTGCCTTTGGTGTGTTTTAGGACCTGAGCCACCAGCTTGGGTTATGTAGGAGGCAAGCACATGTGTGGAGCCTCCGTTGACTGAAGCATCAGTGAAAGAGCTGAGGCAGCAAGTTCAGGTGCGCAGCCTCGTTACCTGAGGCTGGAAGCTCCGCCGGCCCAGGCCCAGGCCACGGTGCTCAGGCTGATGTGCTTCTTCATAGAAAGGTTCGTGGAGTTCATGCTGGTGAGGACACACTGAAACCGATCGCAGGTGGTCACGTGTGTGCCTGAGGGTGTGTGACGTGAACATGCCATTCCCATCACGGCATACCTTTACATGACACACAGGGACTGCGCCTGCCTCACAGGGACTGTGTTTGCCTCCCAGAAAGACCACGGCCTTCGGGTCCATGTTCAGAAATGTTTATTCTGTTGTGACATTAGTGCTCATAACAGTAAAATGCTCTCAGGTAGAGTGGATGGGAGCAAACACTGCTTCAGAATTTTGCTTTGTTCTTTTTCGTTACACTGTGTACATGGTTAGCAATATAACGTTAAGATTTCCCAGATTAAAACAAAAACTGAGACCAGTTAAAAGAATTTCTGTTTCTGTCTCATGTAACGTACCCCTTTTCGCTTTTCGTTGTTGGTTAGGGCTGCACAACTGGAGTCCCTTTCTTCCTCCCTCCTCTTCCTTCCCCCTCTTCCTTCCCCCGCCACCCCCTCCACACACACACCTGTTTCCCACCTTCAGTTGGTTTCTTCTAAGAGACTCTTAAAGCGGGCCCATAGAGAAATTCTTCCACCGCCAGGACATCTGGGTAGGCTCTGTAGCCTTCGTTGTACCTACCGAGGACCTGTCTTCCCTCTCCCCCACCTTACTTCTCTTGCTACTGTTTCCACCCGCTCACAAGCTCTTCCTCCCATCTTCGGAACTGAGCCCGTGAAGCTCAGTTCTTCATCCTGATCAGCAGAGTCAGAGGTTCTTACTGATTTCCTGTGGAAATTGCTCTTGTTTTTTCCCCCAGCTAATCAAGGAGAAGAGAGGGGGCTTTGGAACCCACAGGGCTTTAGGATAGTCATTTTCAGACCTTCTTTTCCAAAACATGTACAGACACACCTGGGACCTAAATCTGATTTGGGTGCACGTTTATACACTATACTGGGGTATCTTTTTGATGCTGTGGTTTGAGTTCAGAATCCCCGTTATTGCACATACGTGTCATGAAATGATTTGTTTTGCTTAGCAATGGAGGCATTCTTGAATGGGGGTGGGGAGGTTCAAAATACACTTATCTTGCCCTGAATCTTGTCTTTTATAGTATTTGTGATTGATATCATTGAATGTGTTTGTTATAGGTAAACTGAAATAATGGGGTCAGGGTAATTGAAATGACTATCCTCTCGCTGGCCCACATAATCTGTTATTTCTCTATGTAGCTAATAAGCCAGCTATAATCAAGATCAGGGCTTAACCACATCAAGACATTTGGATTTTATGTAAATTTATAAGACAACTAGAATTAAGTGATACTTGTTATATTGAAATCTTAAAAGTGTTTCATTCCTGTCTTAGTAACTCTTGAGTACATGTGTCACTGCTATAAAAGCTCTCCCGTTAGAGAGGGATGGGAATTCCCCTCTATAAACTGAGGCCTTGAAGAATTGCATTAGGTCAATCAGTGTCAGAACGCCGGTCAAGCCTGGGCCTTTTATTACTTCAGGAGTTAGACTTTCTAGTATTGCACAGGGCTTTACACTGATCTGTTCACTTTTATCGGTAACCATTAATTGAAGTGTTTATCTGTGCTCCTAATTTGCTTGTCTAAGTTTAAAACTTGAATCTGAACCTTGTTGTCCAAGAGGAAAAGCCATGAAGAAGAGTTGAAAACCCATGTAACTAAAAAAAGAAGCAAATGAAATCTCGCTGGCTTTTTGGACGTGTTGGGTTATGAGTTTTCATGCATTCTGTGCAAGTGGCGAGAATGAGAGCTCTTGCTGATGTTTTTTCTCTTTCAGCTAGGCCAGGATTTACTGGTGTGTTTATCTTGTCACCATTCCGGTTTGACTCTAAGGAAATGAAAACATCTTCCATTTGTTCTTTTCTTTCCAAAGGGCATCCGCTTCGATCCTGAAATTCCGCAAACACTACGACTAGAGTTTGCTAAGGCAAACACGAAGATGGCCAAGAGCAAACTCGTAGGGACTCCAAACCCCAGTACTCCTCTGCCCAACACTGTACCTCAGTTCATTGCCAGAGAGCCATGTAAGTGGATCTGCTTTTCATTTTTAAGGTGGGGGTGGGGGGGTGGATTACAACAACAATCGGATCACTGAGACTAGCTGATGTGCCGCCTGTGAGAGCACACCAAGGGACGGAGCTGGCTGAGGGTCATGTCCAGTTCCGTGGAGAGGGCGCCTACTCTTGCTGTCTGAACTCCAGATACGGCTGTCTTGTTTGTGATTTGTGTCTCCAAAGATGGTTTGGCTCAATCAGAGCTATAGCTACAACATGTTGATGTGTTGTAGATTTTCTTAATGGGCTTGACTTTATCGTGAGTATGCCCTATTTGCCTTGGAGTGTAAACCCTTTTTTCATTTCCCCATTCCTGGACATGGGAGTCAGTTCTCAGCAATCACTTCGTTGAAGAACATCAGTTCTGCGGTTTTGGGGAAATGCAATGTTAAAAAATGAAAGAAGGGGATATTAAGTTTATTCTATTTTTGAGAACAGTTTGGCCGTAAATCTTGGGGGGAAAGTAAACACATCCAAAGCATTTATGTATTGGAACAACCAGTTCCAGCAAACAAATACCAGTACAAATTGAAGGAAGTCGGGGGCTTTTTGTTTTAAATTAATTGGGTATGAACACTTGACTAATTGCTAAAAAGTATTGTACCCCACCTCATGAGCTTATTTCCTTAAATGTCCAGGCTACAATTTCTGTGTTTGACTGAAAAGATTGTCTTAATTTTCTTTTTCAAGCTCAATCACCAGCAGAAGTGAGGCGTGAAATGGCCTTAACTTTTCCTTTCTTTGCGTAGCTATACGTGATGGACTGTGACAGGGCGTTCAGGAGTCCCAAAGGACTTGCTGTTATTTGGAATATTCCTATACTCTCGTTCTTCATCTTCCCAGACCACATGATCTTCATCTCCTTCCTGCGCTCTCTGACAATATGTTCCAGCTTTTCTTACTGAAACTGAAGGTCACATGGGTTCCTTTCTTCCCGTCATGTGCCTGTCAGATCTAATCAGACTACTTTGGAAGTTGTAGTCATCCTGTAGCTCAGTTATTCTTGAGAAAGCTGCTTGCGTGTCGCTGGAAACGAACAGATAAAAGAGTTTCTCCCCCAGTTTGTTCTAGAATGTTTCTGTGAAGCCACAGAGTAATAATGGAGAAGAAGAAAAAAATTGTTCTTCCATGTCCTAAGAAAAAGAAATCTTTGTTTATTTGGGAAGGAAATCTAAATGAAGGTTTCATTTTCAGGTGCAGGGGCTCTAAGGGAGTAGGCATGGACATTTCTTACAGAATTCTATATCCCTACAGCATCTATCTCAGTACCTTGTATATTGCATACATTTATAAATATTAAATTAAAAAATTTAATTTAGCTATTTTCAGAATTATTCCATTTGTGTGAATTTTTTCTGAAAAAAATTGTTCTCTTAAGGCGTCAGAAAAGAGTATTTGTAGGATACTTTGATTTAGAAAAGATAACCTAGAGTAACTCTACTATTTGGAAATTGCCTGCCTCAGACAGGAAGTGAAATGCTGGCCATACTTGACTCTTTCAGTTCTTTGTGCAGTGCTTTTTCTGAGAGGTCAAAATGTTTTCTAAGTCTGCTACAGCAGCTCTATGAAACAAGTAGCCAGCAAGGTGATAGCCAGTTCACAGCAGGGTACAGAGAAGCAATGGAGATGGACAAAGCGAACATCCACAAATCCTTGAAGTCACAGAAGAGCTTAACTGAGTTTAGACACTGCTTTGGCCCACTCTGCCTACCTCCCTTCCCTGTATATAGGACAACTCAGAAATGCTCAGATAATTTCTGTGGTGGAGTCAAAACTTGCCTGTCAGCCCAGCTGGGATGGCTCAGTGGTTGAGCATTGACTCATGAAGCATGAAGTCGTCACTGGTTCAGTTCCTGGTTGGTGCACATGCCCAGGTTGTGGGCTTGATTCCCAGTAGGGAGTGTGCAGAAAGGCAGCTGATCAATATTTCTATCTCCTTACCCCTCTCCCTTCCCTTCTCTAAAATCAATAAAAAAACACTTAAAAACAAAACAAAAAACCTTTGCCTGTCTGCTCATGGCACAATGAACTTGAAGCTAAAAAAAGAAATCCAAACAGCCATATATTCTTGAGAAAATAAAAGTTAGCATGACTTTTCTTAATATAGCTTCTTTTTACGACATAGTACCTTGACAAATAGCAGTTCCGCTGTGACTCAGATCGACCTTATCATCTATTACCATTCCCTCTGGAATGGGTAACTTCCCGGTCATATATACAGAGGTGTCGCTTTTCCAGAAGCATACTGCAGACTAAGAACATGGTGAGATTCTGAACTGTGAGTCCAGTTATATTTGCCCATAGTTGGTGCTCTAGGTGAGCAGTGTAATTGCCTGTCAGGAATAGACTTGCCGTGGAATCGTAGACTTTGGGAGTTGGAAAAACCCTATAGGTGTCTCTGTTAGAGGCCATCAGGGAGAGTTTTTTTTATAAATGCTTCTTTGTATTGATGTTTTTATATGGTGGTGGCTGTTAAGTACCCATTGCCATCACTAATGGAAGAATTTTCTGTGATTTGATTATATAGCAAAATTTACTTGGACATTCATTTTTCAAGTATCTGTTGAACTTAAACGAGCACCCAGTATGCTAGACACTGGGGAAGGAGGAGTCTGTGGTTGCTGCCTTAAAAGAACTGTCAGGCCCAGCCATTGTGGCCCAGTGATTGAACGTCAACCAATGAACCAGATTACGGTTTGATTCCCAGTCAGGGTCCATGCCCGGGTTTCAGCCTCAATCCTCAGTAGGAGGTGTACATTATCTCTCACCACTGATGTTTCTATCTCTCTCTCCTTCTCTGAAATCAATAAGAGATATATATTTTAAAAACTGTCAGCCCAAGGTGTTGGTGATAGTTATCAGGAAACTTGGCCTTTACAAAGGCTGTAGGAAATTTCTTGCAGCTTAGTCTAGATTGCTCCAAATCAAACCACCCTATTCGCTGAGCACCGGCTCTATCTGTGATAAGTATGAAGATCAAGAAAACCAAAGATTGCAGTTTGCCAAGGCAGAGATGGTGGCCCCAGGGGAGAACCTTGGCCTTAGACTTGAAGATGTCCGTGAGAGTTCTGGCTTTGCTAGTTAATCATCAAGCTTTGGGACCTTAAAAAAAATTAACCTTGTTGTGTTCCTGTTCCTTCAGCTATAAAAAGGGAATAATACCTTCTCATGACTATAGAGCTAAATAAAACACCATTTGATTGTGTTGCAGATTAAATAGTTGTAATATATGTAGAGTGCTAGGCAAATGAAAAATACAGTCCTTTTTTTTAAAAAAAAAAATACTGGTTTTAGAGAGAAAGGAAAGGAGAGGGAGAGAGAGAGAAATATCAGTGTGAGAGAGAAACATCAATCGGTTTGATCCCCAAATGGGGATCGAACCTGCAATCTGGGTATGTGTACTGACCAAGAATCAAACCCACCACCTTTTGGTATATAGGATGATGCTTCAACCAGCTGAACTCCTCATCCAGGGCAATCTTGTTTTTTTAAAAAAGCACTGAGTTGGTTTTTTCTTTTCCTAACAGTTCAAAGTAGGTATTGATCTTATGAGGTGTCATCGATGTGTGACTGTAGCCAATTGTCTTTGCAAATTAGGAGAAAGGATTAATAAAATTCACATATAATCCCAGGAAAGTAGTACATTTCCCTAACTAAATTTTTATTAATTTAAGCTTCCCCTTCTCGTACTCTCTTGTATGTAATAAAGTAAGGAAAATACTAGAAGAAGATATAGAAACATTACGTTATATAAAATTCTTCTGGATTATCCACTCGGTTGCACAGAAAAATCCTGTTCTGTGGTGTAAGGGGAGACTCTTTAAAACCTTACAAGGACATAGCCCTTCATGACTCATCTGACCACTTCCTAGTTTTCCTGCGACATCCCTGGAATTTCCCATTTATCCAGTACTGACCCTGGATGGGTGGGGAGCCGGAGTGTGAAAAGGAAGTTCTGGAGAAAGATGGTTGTAGGGACTCTGGGCAGTCACAGACCTGGGGCAGGAGTAAAGGAAAGAGGTCAGGAGATGGACGCAGCTGGGAGGCCAGAGGCAGCCAGCTGCTGACAGTAAAGGAGATGAGTCCATCAAAGTGTGGAGGCTGAGCTTGCAGGATTGTACACATTTGACTCCTGCGCATTCCCTCTGAGGCCACTCCTCAGTGGGGACTGTCTAGGGATTCTGTGCCTGTGGACTCATGTGAAGCTACCAGAAGTGATGTTCACAGAAACATGCCAATGATTTTCATGCTGCGTATCCAGACGTGGTGATGATTGAGTAACCCAGTGAGTGGTCTCCCACCCAGCACAACTAAGCGTTTGTGGGCCCCATTGTCACATCACAAAGAAAAGCCCACAGTCAAGAGTTAGGACACATCTTTATTTGCCATTCAGGATATGTATAAAGATATCTATCATGTGCTTTGGCCCCAGACATCCTGAGAAATACACAAAAACATGAAACAAAACTGTAGTCAATATAGACAGCAAAATACTCTTAAAAAACCAGAGGCCTAAACTAATGTTTATTTCCGTATATGCCCCACTCTGACAAAGCAAAAATATTGTTTTTCTCTTAAAAAGAAGGGCTAAGCATTTACTAAGCCAACCAGTATTTATCTATCTTCATTCACTCTATCCTCAAACCTGAACAACATTCCTAGTTTTTGCTTGATGTGTATAATTTTGGTAATCTTTAATAATTAAATTTAGTAATATTAAAGTAACTTTAGACAATGGATTTGAGGAAGGGAGAGGGATAGAGAGTTAGAAACATCAATGGGAAAGAAACATCCGTAAGCTGCCTCCTGCACTGGGGATGTGTCTGCAAACCAAGGTACATGCCCTTGATAAGAATCAAACCCGGACCCTTCAGTCTGAAGGCCAACGCTCTATCTACTGAGCCAAACCGGTTAGGGCGGTAAGAATAGTTTTTATATAGACATCTTGTTTGATGTGGGAAGTAAGTTAT